TTTTTTCCTTTCCTTTTGAACTGAGACTTTTAAAGCTTATTATGCCAAGTAATCCTTCAAATTATTTCAAGATCGGGAGCATGCAATGAAAGCCAATATTTCGTAATCCTTACACCACAAGCTTTCATTCTCACTTGCAATAAATAAGCTTCATAATACTCATTAGTACATGATAGAAACTTGGTTGTGTGGGATAGAAGTCTCATATTGAGTTGAATGAAAAATTGATATATTATTTAATTGAATTAATTCTCATGCATATTTTACTAATTAATGAGTATATGATACAATTGGTATCAGAGACGCCTATGACTATTGACAACCAATACGAAAGTATATATAAGTTTTTTTCTTTTTCAATTTAAAATATTTAATTTTTGGTTGAGAAATGCAAACATATTTGTAAGTTGTTTGTTGTATATTGTAGAATTAAACTTTGAATAATTGAATGCTATTTCTTTTATACCTACTTGATAAGCCTTAGCCTTAGAGATTTTGATGCTAGCTTCTTTTTTTCGAGTGAAAAGGGATTTTATTAATATTTACAAGAAAAACAAAAGATAACAAAACATTCTCACTTAGCCTAGCGGTACATTATTATAAAAGGAGAGTGCTTCGTTGACTAGTCTATGGGCTTGAGTTTCCTCATGTTGAAAAGCTTCCTATTTCAGGCTCCCCAAAATTTCCAACAAAGCATATCGAAGAGAGTGCACCATAGTTGATTGGAGCTTCTTGAATTTAGGTTGTCTTCCATCCATTGCTGGTAGGGTTTGTTGAAGAAACCTATTTGAATGTGCGCAGGAACGACGAGCTTCCAACAAGATATAGCCAAATTACAATCGCGAAGGCTGTGATTGACATCTTCCAATGCTTTCCCACAAATTTCACAAGTATCCGATTGAGACATGTGTCTCTGACTGATGCTGGCTTCTTTATCAACTATACCTGAAAGGAAAAGTCACTCCTTGAACGTCAATACAAGTAGATTCCTACTAATTTTATCTTTTTTTAAAAAAAATATAAGTTTCATATTATTACATAATATATCAAAAACTTCTATTATGTTATATGAAAGTAAAAAATAGGGGAGAAAAATTGAGAAAAGAGAAAACTGAGGGGGTGTGATTTTCTCTCCATATGCTTGGTTGAAAGGTAGAAAATAGATAGAAAAAAGTGGTCAATTTTTATGAATAATAGTAACCTTATTAATTATATGAAAATATTTATATATGGCAAAATTTAGACTAAGTATATTTTTAGTTTTTTAATTTTATACAAGATTTTAATTTGGTCATATGTTAAAAATATATTTTTAGTCCTTCAACTCTAAAACCATTAATAGAAAATGATGATATTAAGATATTAAATATTAATAAAAGTACTAAAAACATACTTTTTAAAGTTAAAAGACTAAACTAAAATCTTGTATAAAATTATATATTTTTTCCTAAAACTTAACATTTATTAAATAAAACAAAAATATAATTGAGTTTTTCTTCATTTTTCTTTCGTGCTTTTCCCTTCCCCTCACTTTTTTTCACTTATCAAGTGTAGCATAAAAGACAAACTGCAATGCTCTAAAGACGAGAATGAGCGATACAAATATAATATTTAATCCAAAAATATAATTCTTCCTTCATTATATTAATTGGTCCTTTTCTACTAATGCTAACAGGAGTAGGAATTGTTTCTTTATTACTATTATCTATATGAACTAATTCTTTATTAGTTTCCAATATCGGTGGTATGAGAAAATGAGATAAGGAACCCATTGATCACACTAAAATGAATTCTAATTAACAACGCTAAACTTATTATAGAATTAAAAGAACCAAGATTTTAGTTGGCAAAAAAAAGAACCAATTTTTTTTCTCTATTCCCTTAGTTAGTCAATGCTTAGACTCAATTAAAAAAAATAAAAATGAGTTGGGTGTTCAACTGAGTCCTACCCAAAGTCCAAAGCTCTTTTTTCACTCATGCAAACTTTTTTTTTATAAAAAAGGGGCCCCTTTCGTAATATTGTAAGAAAATTGATTTTTTTTTCCCTCCTCCTTCTTCTTTCATGCAACTTTTATGTTATATATATAAGGTTAAAAATTATATACACATATATATATAGCTTGCCCACTGACTGACAGAGGAATAATTCTTTTGGTAGAGAAGGGGTTTGAAAGTTTAAAGACAACAAAAGGGGAAAAAATGGTTCTATGCTGATTTGCATTAACAATTAAACTCATATTAAGTTCAATAAATTTTTTAAAAAAAAATAAGAAACCTTTCTACCAATAAATTGGACACCTCTTTTGCCAACAAAATTGAACTATTTAAATCTATTCTTTCTAGGTAAAAAATTAAATAGGATATCTTTGGTTTCAGAAAACAAGATACATTTTAAGTTGAATTATCGTTGACATGATTTGTATTACTTAAACATTTATTTTTATGATTTATATTATTATGTTTGTTTTGATATCAAAATTCAACCTAAGTTTTATAGGTAATCCCAAGTTAAGTAAAAGATGAGAGTTGTATTAGACTTTTCACGGCTAACATAAAACTGCATCAAATCTTTACGATATAGATCAATGAAAAATTTTTCAACGAATTTATTGAGCCAAACATTTTGGAGTTAATAATTTATCTAAAATTTTAATTGTTAATAAAACATAACGAATGTACAATTTTTATATTCAGATGAGACAAAACTAGTTATTCTTGTGTGCCTTTATTAAAAAAAACATTTTTTTAATCAATTTGTTAATGCTCATTTGATAGCTCCAGGCTAAGTCAATTGCCACCATACAACTAGCATTTTGACCGTTCAATTTGAAAATTTAATTAAAAAAATATTGAACCATTGTGAAAGCAGATTGGTCAATCAACAAAAAACATTTTCTTAAATAAATAGACTTGTGTCTTGAAATATAATAATATAAGAAATTTTAAAATGTAGATATATTTTTAATCCCTTCTTGTTTGGTTTGGAAGGTAGGGGCCGGGGACCGGAGAGAGGTACTAAGTCCTAAACTATTAAATTATTTGTAATTATAATTTACAATTTATGCATACATTTTTTGTAAAATTATAAAATAGCAGCCAACTTAACAAATTTTAGTCCTTACACATGATCTATGATTTATGAGAAGCATAATTTTAAAATATTGTCAACTTAGAATGGTTTCCATTATACACACTCTCGACACTCCATTCAGTACCTATTATAAGCATATAATATTAACTTTATATAAATTAATCAAATTAGTTAAAATTAGGTACTACCTCCTATATCTTCTAAATAGAGGAGCTAAAAAAATTAAGAGGAACTAAATAAAGATATTGTTTTCGTTCTAAATATAAGTCTAAAGTCTACTTCCAAATCTATAATTTTTTCTTCAAGATATCCCTAGTGATTGCACATATTAAAAAGTCTTCATCATGAGATAATTCTAATGCACATGATTACAAATGGCAGCTTAAAAAAATCAACACATATCTGTTACCAACAATGATCTTAACTAATTTCATTAATAGCCACAAATAAAATTATTTATTTACCTATTATATTTAATATCAGAGGTAGTATTTCTTATGAAATATTAAAATTACCCTCAATAAAAGTTAGTGGTTAGAAGAGTTTAATTAATTAGTGAGGAAGTTTTATAATTAGTTAAAAACATTAGGAAGTACATGGTTTTCAACTTCTTGTTTAAAATCTAATATGTAGTTTTTTATATGACTATGTCATTGGCTTGGATTTTAGCATTGTCTGTCCTTTTTACAAGTTAATACTCCTCCGATACTTAATATAGAACTCAATTGTTGAGTTGATTTTGATCCTAAATATAAAACTCATTTCTCATATTTATCAGCTTTCTCTAAATTACCCCTATAGATATTCTCTCAACCATAATTAAGTAAAAGAAGAGGAGGTATTAAGAAAGATGATTATAGTATTTTAGGAAAAATGTGTCACATTTCTTATAATTAACTAACTTACCTAACTTCCTTAATATCATCAAATTAATTAAATAGGTCTTATATTAAGTACCCGAGGACTATAATTTTTTATTTTTCAAAATTTGATTCTAGTTTTATTTTTTGCAATTTGAAACGGTTGTTTTTGTCTCTCAAATTTAATATCATTTTGACTTTTGTCTCTACAATTTGAAAATAAAGATTTTGGTTCCTAAAATTTAATTTTATTTCGGTTAATATTTTCTAAAAATCACTATGACTGATTTTAAATTTAGATAACAAAATCAAAATCATGGTAATAAATTGCAAGGACCACACCTTTTGACCAACGCTGTGTAGTTCAGTGCGGACTATTTTGGTCGTGTTCATTCTAGCATGTTTTCGTTACAGTTGCACACCCAGATGCAATGCTTGATCCAATGGAGGCAGTTTCACTTTCATTTGATTTGAGTATTCATCAGACCAATCGCTGTCTTTGTTCCCTCCTCATCTCTGAATTTTTCTTCTTCCCTCTTCACTCTTCACACTGGTTCCCTCTTCGCCATTAATATCACAAACGCCTTTCCGTTTTCCTCTCGATAAGTCTCTTTTCTCGCCGAACAAACATCTCTTTCATCCCCTCTCAACAGTTCTTTTACTGTGGAATCTTTGCTTGAAAATTCGCCCGTGCTCTTAGACAATCATAACTGCACATCTTCCTCACTCCTCACTCATTTTCCCAGAATTTATGAGCCCAATAAAAGCCAAGTTGAACCGTGTTTAGTATTGGTGTTTCTAGGGCTAAATTACGAGAAAATGTTTGGGACGAATCGGAATCATCCTTTTGCCCGCGGGTCCTTTGACAGCTGTATTGGTCTCTCGTAACCCAAATTTTCCTTGTTTTCTTCCACACATTCTCTTACCTTCTGCACATTGTGTCTCCACATTGGCTCAATTATGCAGTCCCCCACCTCACCTTCCACCTGTCTGTAACAATGCCTCATCGAGATTGTGTAAAGTTGTAACCATCTGACCTTTTCTTTTTTTCTCTCTTCTTTATCTTATAGATAAGAGATCTTGACCTTATTGGGCCAATCTCACATGATATCAAAAGAAAAGGCCATGTCAATACTCTGAGGCCTCCAGTCTTTTTCCCAATCTGATGAGCACTAACTATTTGGCATAAGAAAGAAAATCTTCATCAACAATTATTGGCTTGGTTGGTTGAGGTAATTTGGGTTAAGCTTGAATTTCACCCAGTAATTTTATCTAACCTACAGTAAATAATATTTTCTTGATGTCCAAGCATTATCTTTTTTCTAAGCTTTTGGATTAAATGATTGAGCTGGTAGGGGGAAAAAGCAAAAGTTAGGACTTCCATGTGCAAAGTTTTTATATTGATAAATTTCTTTAGTGGTCAGTTTTTTCTAGAAGATGTTTTAGCGTTTATGGATTAATTCATGCCTTCCTCTGAAAACTTTATTTTTTTCCCCTTAAAAAAATGATCAATCCAAGCTCAAGTCTCAAGTTATTCATTTTTTATGTTGATATTATGTGGATTTATAATTTGGATCCTTAAGTGAGTAATCTACAAGGTACTTGTGAAGGGGGAAAAAAAACCTTAAACTCTCTTTAATTATTTTCAAATAGTGACTTTTTTTTACATCACGTTTATACGTTTCTCTTCAACTCATGGATAATTGCGTGAATCTGTTATATATTGTTTAGACTTTAAAACTCTTTTGGTTTTCAAGGGTTAATCAAATACCTTGCTTTAAGTGGACATTTTGGATGTAATACTTAATTCTGTTCTTTCAAGACTTCTAATATGTGATTTGGCGCTTTAATCGTCAGTGATATATTTTTGTTGACATATATCATCATAATAATTATTCTTATGTACCAGAATAATGAAACTAAATTCAACTGCAAAAAAACAAATTCGCGTTATAGAAGGATGGGCCGCTTGTCCTTGCCATGTTTGATATTTTCTCATAAATAGCAGGGCCAACTGGAGGGATGGTTTTGTAATTTCACGCCCAACAGACATATGAACATGCTTGCTACAGTTGAGAAAACCAGAGGACCCATTGAACTGAAAGGAATTTCTCATGCCTCATTAAGAGGCTCCCTAAATGAAAACAAGATAGTTCTGCCTTTTTTTTTTTCATTGTTTTTATCTATTTTTTCTTTTTCTTTTTCCTTCTTTTTCTTTTCTTTCCTTTCTTCTGTGTAATGCTTGCTCTTGAAGGCCCACATTTTGAACAGAGGGAGAAAAAGGGTGGGAATTGTGAATGATTGGTTTCACCCACAGACCTCTTTTCTGAGTGCGTATGTAGTTTCAGCTCCTCCTGATAAGTAACAAAGAAAAGAAAAACATCTGCATCTTTCTGCATTTTCTGATGAAAATCAATCTCGACCTTCTGGGTATCTGATATTATAAAGAATGTTTGATGATTTCAAGGCTTTATTCTTTCTGAGTTTTCTGACATCACTAGCACTTGTTTCAAAGCACCTAGCTCCCTGAATTGGTGGTTCTTGTCCTTTTCAACGAATTTTTGCAGGATTTCATGAGATGGGTAAGCAATCAAACTTAGATCTCACTCCAAATCTGCTTAACTTTCATCATGCTATCCACTATCTTGACTTGTGTGCATTGCCGTTTTGTTTACTTTAATGTTAATGGGCACAGCACTTGGCCTTCTATGCCACTACTTCTGCAAAAATTTAAATCTACGACAAGTTCTGCAAATTATTTGTTTGTTTCTTCACGAGTTCAATGCTCCAGTCTGTAACGTACAACTTCATTGCTTAGTTGCCTATTAGAGACATTTAGAAGATTTACAAGAGGGGATTATCTAATGGGCATATTATCAGATCACAGAAATTGTAGTTGTTCTATGTGAGATTGTTAAATGGCAAAGAGGAAGAGCTGGTTTGGTTTCGTGAAGAGGCTGTTTGTATGGGACGCACAGTCCAAACCAGAGAAGGTAAAAGTAAAATCCTCAGCCTTTTTCTCTGTTAATTCATTCTGAAATGATTCTTTGTAACTAATAAGACTCAGCTTTTTCTCTTTTCATTAATTCTGAAGTAATTCTTAGTGACTGATAGGACTCAGCTTTTTCCTTTTTTTTACCCCAGAAAGAGAAAAGAAGGAAATGGATCTTTGGAATTGGAAGGCTAAAGATAAAGAGATTACCTTCTATTACAGCTCCACCAGCAACACAAAAAGAAACAAAACAAGAGGTTGAAAAGCTCAATAATGGCAATCAATGTTACGAAGAAACTGAAGAATTACAAATTGTTAACTCCAGAATTGAGGCTCCTCAACCCACATCACAATGCCATGGCAAGATTGAAGAATCTTCAGCCATCAAAATTCAAACTACCTTTCGGGGTTATCTTGTGAGTTTGTTCAAGCTCCTTTTTTCCCCCTGATAGCTTAAACAACTTTTTTCCCATCATGTTTATCTTTTCTGCTAAATGCTCACAGATGAATTAGGAAAGTTTCATGAAGTATAATCAAGTACTGAAAAACCGTAGTTGAACAAAATTTCAGAGGGTGAAACTGCTAGTTTAAAAGATTACGTTTTCCTTAATTAGTACTTTCAAAAACAAGAATGAGATGGCTCAAGACTTTAAGAGAAGAAATCACTCTAGTCATCCTTCTTTTGGAAAAAAAAAAAAATCCTAATTTAGTCTGAAGAATTAATCCAATAATCTCATCATTTTTTAACCGGTATGACATTACAGGCAAGGAAGGCTCTAAGGGCATTGAAGGGAATAGTGAAGCTACAAGCTATCATTAGAGGCAGAGCAGTAAGGCGGCAAACTATGAGCACCCTCAAGTGCTTGCAGTCACTCGTTGATATCCAGTCACAGGTCTGTGCCAAGAGACTCCAAATGGTTAAGGGAAGATGGGATTATGATGAAAACCAAGAGATTCCAAGTTCAAGGGACAAGATAATCAGGGTAATCTTACAAGTTCTCTTCTCATTGCAAATTCTAAAGCAAATTCTACCTCTCTTTTCTCAAATCATGGAAACTTATAAAAGAAGAGGAAAAATGATAGTCTAGGAGTCTTAAATTTATATTAATGACAGTTGGATGCCTTGAAGAATCAAAATTTCTCTTTAGAACTCTAGAAATAAATTATTATTAGTGTATCCTGAAATGATTACTCTTGCTCCTCAAAGTTATAACATGATCTTCATGCAAGAGTTTTCGATTTAAAGGTTTGTAATTTAAAGAAGATCGGGTTGTAACTTTAAAGAACTCGGGACGGTAACTTATTTTCGTGGTTCTTAAGAGGTCTGTGTGACATCAGGAAAATAAAGTTATAACTTTAGAGAGCATGGTAACTTTAAGAAGCATGAGTAGAGAAATTTTGATTCATTAATATAAGTTATAGGTATTTAACTGACATATTTTTCTTAAAAATGATTTTGAAGATTACACAACCTTGTAAAATGTGAATGCTGAATTATAGATTCGTTTTTCAGATGGATTCAAACGGTGAAAGGAGGTGGGATGACAGCATTTTGTTGAAGGAAGAGACAAATGTTTCTCACATGAGCAAAAAGGAAGCAGAAATTAAGAGAGAACGAATGAAAGAATACTCGTTCAATCATCGAGTAAGCTCTTGATTCTTGTTTTTGGTTTCTCATAATCATAGTATCCTCGCACGTAGAAAAACTCAGATTGTTAAAGAAAGATGTTACTTTTTCTAACTAAGCTAACCTTTTGGGGTAAATCTTTATATTTTTCTTAAATATCAATTTTTTTCATTACCATACCTAGGTTCAAAATCATGCATATATATAGTTCTGATGCTAAATTTACTTTACTTGAAATATAATCCCAGAGATCAGCAGAATCAGAGAGAAAGAAGGTAAATGGAAGATTGAGGTATTGGATGGAGCAGTGGGTAGATACTCAACTTTCCAAAAGTAAAGAACTTGAGGATCTGGATTCAGTTTACAGTTCACATTACGGAGCAGGGGAAGAAGATGGAAGAACAGGAAGAAGACAGCTACTTCTGAGAAATATTCAGAGTCAAAGGCAAAATCAGATTGAAGGCCTAGGCCTATATTCTCCAAAACTTGCTCCAGTAAGAAAACTTTCTCCTCACAGAAGGCAACATTCTCTGGGAAATGATGAGCTTTCAAGCCCTTCTGTACTTCCCCCATACATGGCAGCAACAGAATCAGCCAGAGCAAAAGCAAGATCTTCAAGCTCCCCAAAACTAAGAACGGTGAATGTGGATCCAACAAAACTTGATGGGAACTCACCATGCAAAAAGAAGCTATATTTTGTATCTTCTTCCATTAACCAGCCAAGATCTCCAAGTTTAAAGGCAGTCTCAGGACCTATTAGAGCAAGCAGGACAATGAAGGATCTCAGCATTAACTCTGATAGCTCATTTCTGTACGGATACAATAGAGGTAAATTGCTTCAGGCGTTTTCTGTCAAGGTTTCCTTTGAGAACGTGTTGTGATTTTATTGGAGAATGTGTTAAAAAATTATTAAAAAGCAAAAAAAAAAAAAAAAACTAAACCTATTTTCTTCTTTCTGTAGATTGGGATGGGCCAGGTATTTTCAAATGAGGCTTTGGATCCTGATGCTGCTTGCATTAACAGAACTCTGTGGGTTTTGAAGAGAATGACTCTGTTCCTTGCCTTGTAAATTTTGAGTGGATATAATTGTTTTTGATTTTGAGTGAACATCAATGTCAAGATTGGTTGCCGAGGGGAAAACAAAGGCTCATGCCTCGTCTGGTTGTGGTTGGAAAGGAGAAAATCAATTCCTTTTGTTGCTTCTCTTCATAACGTTTATTGTATCTTTGTAATTATTATCTAATAGTTTTTTATTTTATATCTCCTAGGACTTTTAAAAGTGAAGATGTTAAGTTAATTATACACTATTGCATAGTTTTTATTTTATTTTTTTAGTCTTATGTATGTCTGTATGCATGTATATCAGATTCTAACTCTCGTATGGCGTTGACGTGAAAGCAAGTTTTTTTTCTAATTATAATTGACCATTATCATTTTTTTTAAAAAAATTAAATATATAATGAATTTCTTATTTCAAATTGTCTGGTAAATATGATAAATTAAACTTATCATGTTAAACTAGAAGATTTTTTGGTCTTTTAATCTCTAGAACCCACCTAACCTTTTTTTTTGTGGTGAAAACCTTTTTTTTTTAACAAACGGAAAAGACATTTATGTACGAAGGCCCCATGGTGTTAGGTGGGTGCCAAAATTGGGGTTGTTGAACGTCAAAAAAGTTATGGGCCTTTGTGGTGACCCAAAAATAAGATGGGCCACTTACTCAATGAAAATTGGATATGCGAAGGATTTATCTTTCTTCTGATTGTTCATTAGGCTCTTTAATGTTTTTTTTTTTGAAAAGTTGTATCATGATTATGTTATATAAATAGATATTTAAATACCATGGATGTATATATCATTGAAAATTTAATTATAATTAGATAAAAATATGAATAAAAATAACTTTTCTTCAACTATCAATAATATTTATACTAACATAGCATCATGCATTTGCAAAAGGGCAATGGAATGATTATAAACTTGGAAAAAAATTGTATTTTCTTATCCTGTATATATTTATAATAACATAACATCATGTTTTAATGATTTTTCAAAATTTGGATAGAGTTTACATTATTAAATATGTGGGAATGGACTAAAACATAAAATGAGAACGGTAGAATAAATCCTCTCACCAAATAAACTCGGAAAATTGTATTTTGTTATCCTGTATATATTAAATAATTTTAAATAATTTAAATTTTTTATATATATTTTTGAAACTTTCAAATCAAATAAAATAATCTGGCCGAAAAAATCAAATCAAGTAAAAATCACGTGCCCATATAATAATGACAAATCATATAAATAAACCATAAAATCATCACTCACTATTTTATTATGATGTAAATAAAATGTCACATGAAACAGACATTCTATTACTAATTATAATATCATTATATAAATAAAATATTTAATTTAATTTAATACTACCTCCGGTCCTTAATATAAGACCTTGTTTGAGTTTTATCTTGGTCCTAAATATAATACCTCAATTTACTTTGTCTCTCATATTTATATATTTTTTCTCAAGGTAGTCTTTCTAGCAATAATAATCCTAGCCAATACACTTGATTAGCAAGGATATTTTAGAATTGACAACATATATTTATTACAAATAACTAACTTAATTTCTTTTCTTAATCTCTTCAAATTAGTTAACTGTTTTTATAATTAGGACCGGAGGTAGTATTTATTAACAATTATAAATAACGTGACATACTATCAACTCTAAAATATCTTTTCGACTTCTTCGAGAATAATTGTAAATACATGTGAGACAAATAAATTCTTTGAACCTAACTTTGTCCACGTTCAAGTGAACAAGGATTTTTTAAAAATAAGAAAAGACAAGTAATCCTAATGAGCAATATGAAAACAATGGATTTAAAGGTAGTTAAATTTATATTCAATTTATTTTATTGAGTGTTCTGATACACATGAAAAAGTAACAATCATTTGGAAAAAAATTTTAAAAAAATTTCCCAAAGTCATAGTCATATTTACATAATTAAAACGATGATTAGCTGACCATTAATTAATTCTCTTTATAATATTTTATAGCCAAAAAACAAAACAAAAAATAAAAGTAAGTTTCCAGGTTCTATGAATCTAGTAGACATTAAAATTTTCCAACATTGTACTAATTGGAAACGTGAAAGTGAAGATGTGCCTCCACTTAATTATGTTATTGTGAGTTGTGAGTCTGTTTTTGGGTCAAAAAGTTGTGACTTTTATTTTTTGAGTTGTGACTTTGAGTTGAAGAAACACGGCACCCAACATATGTCCTTGGACTTGGACCTAACCAACGTTCCAAAGTCAGAGCACAAATTTGAATTTTTAAATATTTTAATTAAAATATTATAAACACTTCAATTATTTGTTGGCCTTCAAGAATTTAATTATTTTGAAGATTAAAGTTATCATCAATTTAAATTATTCTTTAAGTGTTAAGATAATTATTACTCATTCCTTTTATAAGATACACATCACCAAAATAACTTTATAAAAAAAAATACAACTTATTTTTTTTTTAAAAAAGTACCCAAAGAGTAAGTGACTAAGTAGATAATTAATGTAGTAAAACTAACTAATAATTAATGAGTCAAAAATAAAAAAATAATATGAAGAATTTCAAACATGTTATTAACATCACATATGAATAGAAACATGTCTATATATAGAAACGAGAGGAGCATAAATTTTACAGAATGGTAGTTTAAATCACTTTGATAATAACTTTCCTAAATCTAATATTAAAATATTATCCTGAAATATTTGTAATTTAAAGTATTTTCAATATGAATTTAATGAAGTTTGAGTCACTTTCATTAATAAATGTAAATTACATACACTTTTTCAGATTTTATTGAAATCACAAGAAGTTTTTTTCTATTTAAATAAAAATGAAAATGACATCCAATTATTTTTTTGAAAATAATAGAAAGTGGTTTTATAATTTAAATATATAGGCATGTAAGATTTGAATTTGACCAACGCACAATGCAATACATTCTAAGTTTCCACGTAGATACTCATTAATTTCAGTGAGTGCACAAAGCACTTTGTTAATCACACGGACTTATTATTTTCAACACAAAACAAAAAGTTTAATCGAGCACTCCATTGAAAATTGAAGACGTGAAACACCCACTTATTTGGTCAATATTCTCATAAGTTTCCACGTAATTTAGCTAATCATCAAATCTCAATTGACTATTGTAATTGGACAAAGCACTTAATTCAAATTATATATATTTTTAAAAATAAAGTTCAAAAGAATTTGATAACTAATCTTTAAAATCTTATAACCCATTCACACCAAGCGTCTCTTTAGGTTTTGGTTTAAAAAAAAAAACAGAAGTCTCTTTAAGTATTTCTTCAAACATGAGGTTGTGAGTTCAAACTCCCTATAAATTATACTAACTCCAGTTCTTAATATAAGAATTACTTGACTAATTTAAATAGATTAAAAAATTAGTTAAATTAGTTATTTGTAATAAAAAAGTATTGTATTTCCTAAATATTCTTACTAATCATGTGTATTAGCTAGAACTAGAGTCGGAAAAACAGGCTGAGCCCATCGATCGATTCGTTTAAGCCTGTTTAAGTTGAGGGCCGATCTTGTATTTTGGAGCCTTGAAAGGGAAGTTGGGCTTAAAATGGCCAGCCCTGGAGGACCGAAAAATAAACAAACCAGCCTGTTTAAGCCCGCCAACTATTTTTTAAAAAAATTTCCATATTTTTTCTCAACTTAAAAAAGAAGACTCTAATATTTTACACATAACACACTATTAGTTTTACTCACTCCAGCAGCTCACATAGACAACATTTACCAAAAAAAAAAGAATCATTATAATTGTTGGAAAAATAACCAAAAAAAGGTTAAAATTACAAAATTTAAAACTAGATATATTCACAAAAATGTGTTGCTATTTATAAGCTATCAAAACCTGTTAAAATATAGTATGTGTAATTTTTACTGTCTTTATTTGTCACTCTCTCATATTTTTTATGCTTGAAATAGAATTAATTAAAGAATATTTCGAATTAAAGTATATATTATCTTTATAGTTAGGAACGAATTTAGAACTAGGGACGATGGGATTTTTTCTTTTTTGCCGGTAGGACAAATGATTATGCTTTATGTATACTATATTTGTTAGTTACACTTTTTTGTTAATTATTTATAATTAAACCAGATCATTCATATTGTAATTATTTGTTGAATTTAGTGCTTATTTAGTTGTCTATGTCTCTTCCATTTAGTTTGTTTATTCAATAGACTCTATTATACTGTAATAGATGTTTAGACATAATGATGTTTACGTTTGTGACTTAATTTTATTTATATTTATACCTTGTATTAGTAATTTTATCATTTCATTTTTATTACTTTGATAAAATATTTAAAAAATTATATTTTAGTTAAACGGGCCAAAAAGCCCGTAGGCTAGCCCGAGCCTATCATCTCACAGGTTAGGCTTGAAAATATTGGTCATTTTTGGGCCAGCCCATTTAGGCCCAAGCCCATCACAGACTGGCCCTGCAAGGCCAGACCGCCCCATTTTTTCTAGTGTTAGCTAGAACTAACATTTAATAAAATATTTAATATGTATAACTATTACAAGAACTATTTTTTAAAAAAAATATGAGAGATAAAATGGATTGGAGTCTTATATTAGAGACCAAATTGAATGTCAAACTAGTACTTATATTAAGAACATGAAATAATACAATAGCACATGAATTATAAAAAAAAAAAAAAAAGCTTGACAACTAATTATAGGACCACCATAAATTTTACTATTCAAAGAGTGTTTATGAATTACCCATTAATAAAGTAAGAAAAAAAATCAAAATTATGCCACAAAATCTAAGTAACATCCTTACTAACTAGATCAACTTTTAATTAGTTAGAGATATTTTGGCCCAAAAACAATTAGCTAAAGATATACAAAATTTTAATAAACATTGTTCTTGTAGATATTCTAGAGAAAATTTGAAAGAGACATTAAAATTTTAATAAACACCCATTTTTACTTAGTCAATATTATTCACACATGGAGATAAAGATAGAGACACACTTGACACTTATGATGACAGTTAGGGTCTGGAATTTGGAGAAGTGAACCAAAAATATGGTTTGAATTGAACACATTGAATCTATGTGTTATTTTGATTTGATGGGCTGCCTTGTCTTTTAGGGTTTTGAAATTATTAGCGAATACACTGCCTCCTCATGTCAATAAATATTTGAA